CAGAACTACAGAGATAGCTCAGGATCTGATGGATGTCTTCTTTACCTGGTGACTGTTTGAGAGTCGACGTCACTAGAAGATGTTCATTTTTTACCAGCTTGGATTTCTGACGTGTAGAGAGAAAGAAAAAGGGATTCGTTTGTAAAGTTAGAGAGAAGCGTAAGAAATTCAGGGGAAAATAGCAGCAATTAGAATATGAATGGAAGGAAGGAAATTCGTGAGGGAGAGGAAGAGAGAGGAAGGACTGAGCAGAGAGAGAGAGAGAGAGAGAAGGGGGGCAGTTAGTGAGGGATGGAGGAGGAGTGTAAGCAGGGATCTCAGAGAGGAGTCAGACAGAGGAGCACAGGGTTCACAGCATGGCCTGAACGCTCTGATCCAACCTGGACTCTTTTACTGGAGCTTTGAGGCGCTGAGGGCTCAGAGGGGACCGCTGCTGAGGCTGGGGCACGCTGCACCAGGCAACTCTACTTTCATAGCTCTACAGCTCCAGCTGAAGCTTGTGGCTCTGAACCAGATCTAATCTCCTATGAACACATTTTCCAAACTCTTGATGATGAATCAGGGGCCATTCCTGTTAAAGACTTGGTCGGTACGGTGGCAGGACAGAGACCGGAGCTTCTACTGAGACATCTGTTTAGCTCTGGATGCTCTGCTGGGTGAAGCACTCAGATCCAGGAGATGGGAAAACAGGAGGAGGTAAGATCTTCCTCCTTTGCTGAGGGTTTGGGTCTTGAAGTTAAAATACATTTTCATCAGTTTCCTCTCCTTATAGTTTATTAAGGATCCTCTCCATGATAAAAAACAATGTCGTCTAAATCAAAACGAGAAGTTTATGAACCATTAAATTACTGCAAACATTCGTCAGATTTGGTTCAAAAAGTTTGTGTGTCTGAAAACAGAGATGAGAAAAGTCTATATTGTAGACCAGGCATGTCCACACTCTGTCCTGGAGGGACCAGTCCTGCAGGTTTTAGGGGTTTCTCTGCTTCAGCACAGCTGATTTTCATTGACAGCTGATTAACAGGCTGTAGTTGAGCTGTAATCATCAGAATCCGCTGAGCTGACCCAGGTAAACGATTAAACCCTGCAGGACAGCGACCCTGCAGGACCGGCGTTTGGCATGCCTGTTCTAGGAGGTCTGTTGGCTGCGGTCTGCCAGGCAAACCAAACACAGACATGCACTGATTAACTGTGACCTCATCCAGAACAGCGTCCTGCAGACAGAGGAACAGCTGAAGGGGCTTCTGTTAGTCATGCTTGGAGGAAAACGCTTCCTCGCTTTCTACTCAGGTGTGGGAATTTGTTTGATAGGAAACACCTTTGCTGATCAACGGACTGGAGTCAGAATGAATCCAGGTTTAACCTTTAAAGCCCGAATTCACCCATCTTTGGAACAACGGCCATTACAGGCTGTGATTTAGTTCATTGTTTATTGGGATTTAGTTTATTGGGAACTTTCTTGCCTGTTAAATTCCACAAATCCAATCTTCAATTGTATATACTCCATTCATCCATAAGGGTCCACAGATTAAAAGTAACTCAGAGTATTGATAATAAAAATATTCCATGATGAGAAAATGTCAGAAAAGTTAGCTGGTCATAGCTAATGCTTAGTATCTTGCTAATATTTACTTCCTAATACTTATTTCCTCAGTTGTTAGCTGGCGATGTTTTTCTTTACATCGTCTTCTTACCTACAAGACAAAAGTGTCAGCATCTTTGTATGACGCGATTCAGTGGCGGCTGGTGGAGTTTTCTCCAGGGGGGGCTATAAATTCAAAATAGACAAAAAAGCTATCAAAATACTCTAAGTTCTCACACCAGTACATTTATATGAATGCCAAAAACAACAAAAAATTATAAAAACAGGTAAATCTGTGTTTGGTCCAATATTGGGTCACGAACCTAAAAAAATTAATGCACCAGTTAAATAATGGAGAAGCTATTAGTTAGCTTTATGATTTTTAATATTTACAAACTATTTATTTTCTGAGAATGTGTTTATTTAAGAGCAACTATGCAAATGAACAAACATCTAGAAAAAGTAGACTATATTCTACAGGCCTCGATGTTAACCATTGCCCCAATCTCCCGGGGCAAGTCGTTTTTATTGTTGGGAGAGTACAAATTTCATTGCATTTGCCCGCTGGGCCAGTGCAATGATCGCAAAAAGAAAATTATTTATCACTCAAAATTACTTTAAAATCACAGACATTCGCTGTAAACGACCCACAAGCGTTGCTAGCACCATTTTTGTTGTTTTGTACACATTCTCGCGTGATTTGAAAAAGCCTCGTGATTTTCCGCTAGATGGCGTGATTCAGCTCTTAGGGAGAGAATTCTGCAGAGCAGCAGCTGAATGATGAATTTAATTTATACTATAATACACGCTAGATTAAAAATGATCAGTCAGGGATTAGGAAAATAATAATAATAATTGTATGCGCACAGTGTAAATATTTCTATCATATGGCAGTCTTCTGTACAGTGATGCAGGTCATACATTAAAAAATGTTCATACATTTTTTTTCTCTTAGACATTGGAGTGGTGCATTTAAATGTTATAGAGCTAAACATGTTAAATTGGTGAGTAGTAGTAGTGTAAGTTTTTCACCTGTCAAGTTTTTTTTAGATTTTTAACAATACAATTTATATTTTTCCAAGCACACAACAGTTTAAAGCAAAGTTTAGTTTGAAAAGAATTAGCAGGAAGGATTGAAAAGCATGTTAACACGGTAATGTAGGCTTGAGTTCATTATCTGACGCATGCAGATACACACCAGGAACCTGGAAACTTACCGAATTACAAAAAAATATTTAAAAAACAAACATGTTTCATTTATATATATATATACAAAAATGAATATTAGGAACTATATTTATCAAACATTATACTCGGCAAGTAAAAATTGTTTATGGGCAAATAAAATGTGAAAGTCACTTGCCCTTTGGGCAAGTGGTAAAAATCCTTAACGTCGACCCCTGTTCTATTATTTTCCATGTGAATCCTAGATTGTTTATTCTTCTTTTCCTTTTCTACAAAGTGCTTTAAATCAGTCCTAGCTGTCTTTATCCATGCTGACTCAGATCCTGACCTTTGAAAAGGAGGCAGGGAAAGCAGAATAAAGCCTTAGCCTCGCTGCATGCAGTTCGCCTAGCCTTAGCGCTAAACCAGGTCTTGGAAAAAGAGGGTTCTTGCGCCATTTCTCTCTCTCTTTCTCTCAAATGCGTCTCTTACTTCCGTGACTCGACCTGTCAATCACCCGCAGAACGTCTGCGCAGCTGCAGGAGGTGGCGAACGAATACACTTCCTATCAGCTCTCCTATATCTTTGTATTGCAGAGGAGCTACTGCACATGGACAACTTTTAACGAGAATAAATGGCCAAAGATTTTTGTGCCCTAGGTAGGAAATACGTCACCAATCTGACGAAAAATGGCACAACACTTCACTAGTCAATAAAGTTTAAATGTTCAATCTTTCATATCTTATATATATGTATATATATGTATTTTGAAATATTTTACATTTCAATTTGAAACTAAATTATAGAAAAAATATTTTTTTTGTCTTAATCTACTGTAGGTCATTGGGTGTGGGGCAGCGCCCTAGCGCCCTCTATTGGCCAGCTGACACTGGTTTCAATAGTTGTTGTTAGACTGATTTTTTCATGCGGTACAGAAGAAACTAAAGGAGCTGGAGTCCCGCTACAATTTCTTTTGTATTTATTTAAACCTAACCTTTGTCTTTGTGAGCAGACATTGTCAGAGGTCTAGCCTTCATCAGTCAGCATTGACTCCTAATGTGACGGGGTGGGTGGGGTTTTTCCTCTGCTGTGTCCTCCAGAAGCCCAATACCAAGCGAAGAGTGGCGTCTCTGGCCAGTCTGCTGCCCCCTGTCAAGGTCACGTCGCTGAAGAGGATCAGCCAGACTCTGCAGGTAAATCTCTAAGTAGGTGTTTCCACCTGTGGCCCATTCACACATTCTCAGCTCTGCCCTCTGAGTTTCTGTGGGACTCGGATCAGGGCTTTGTGATGTCCTTTCCCAACATTGACCATGTTGGACTGAAACCCTTTGTTACTAAATCCATGGTGTGAGTAGGATCATTCTCAGATTGTTAGATCCATTTGCTTGCAAACTTGAACCCCACTTGACTCTTTCCTGATGAATCAGTTTACTTTTGCTCAGTTTGCCTGTTGCTTTAATTCTATAAATTTCCACATTGTGGGATAAATAAAGAATTAGCCCACTTAAATAACACGTGTTAATGGGATAAACGTACTGGGTCTTACTTCCACTTTCTGAGTGGGCTCCAGTAACATCTGACATATAATATCAACTTTGAAAGTTAAAGGTATAGTGGAGGAGGTTTGTTTTCTGGGTGGATCATCGAAATAAATGGTAATACTACCGGCAGTGAATCTGACATAGTGGAAAATTTGCTAATCTTCTTCTGGAAAGTGAGCTTGCATGAGCGATGCAAACTTTTAAACAGAGCGTGTGCACGAGGATAAATGGACTTGTGCACGCTCTCGCACACGTTTAATAGGTGTTCCCTCTCGGGAGCAGGTCAATTATAATGCATGTGCCTTTTCTTTTTAAATGCACTCTTTCAAAAAAGACCCTCCACTACACTTTTAATAGGAAGTGCTTCTGAAGGTGATCACTCTTATCTACCTGGATATTCTCTGGAGGTCTGAAACGCCTCTGTCAGTGACGTCTATCTGAGGGTCGAGGGTCTGTCTGTCAGAGTTCTGGTTCTGTTATGTTTTCTTTTGAGTCTTTAGTTTTGCTTTGCTCCATGTTTTAGTGGTTTGGTTCTTATTTTGTTGTGTTTTCAGTCTTCAGGTTTTTGTTTGTTACCCTCTGCTGCCCTCTTGTGTTCTAATTTTTCCCTAGCTCCTTACCTGATTCTGCCCTGTTCACACCTGCTCCCAATCTGCTCATTAGTCCTCTCTTTGTTTCAGTCTCCCTTAAATACTCTCTCTGTTCAGTTCTTCATTGCTGGTTCCTCGTCAAACATCCTCCAACTCCGTCTTCCTCCTCGTGATAGTTTCCCCCTGATGTCTCCATGGTTTCTGGTTTGTTTGGACTTTTTTCATGTTTGATTTTTGACTTTTTGGGTTCCTGGTTTCTGGTTTGTTTGGACTTTGTTTTCGTGTTTGGATTTTTGGATTTCCTGCCTCTGTGTTCAGTTAACCTTTAATTAAACCCACAAGAAAATCACCTCTGCTTCTGCATTTGGGTCAACAAACCTCAACCAAATCCTGACACTGAACAGTTTCATCTCCTCTTTCTGTTTCTTTAGCTCTATGTTTTCTTGCTCCTGGTTTTCCATGTGCATATTTAAACTGCATTTAACTGGAAACCCTACAGCTTGCCATTGGTTGCATTTACGGTATTATCTGCTCCAATGATCTCTCTCTCTCCGGCGTCTGAGCAGCGCGGTTGTTTGTGTATGGAGTGGAGAGACAGCTGAGTGGGCGGGGCCAGGCTGAGCCTGTGTGTGGTGTCCAGAGGGGAGGGGGGAGCAGCAAAGTGCTGTAACACAGATGGGGAGACTGGTGAATCTGCTGCAGTTAGTGAGTGGTTGCCATGACCTGCAGGACTGAGAAATTACACAGGCTTTGTACTGAGTTGTGCTATAGTAATAAACTTGCCTTTCCTTGCCTTTGGATATGTGTCCAAAACCTCAGGTCTCTGTCTCTAAATGGTAATCTGACCTGGTATGTTGCTTTTGGAGTCATGACTTCTTTCTCACTGAGTGGCCAAAAGGTATAATAAAGGCATATTGAACTTGTAATTGTCTAAAATTTAGGAACGCTATATTAATCCTCTCTCTCCATCTAAAGGACCTACAAAAGGGGAAGAGTTGTGTGATCCAATGTCTAATGAGTCAAATAAATCAGGTAAAAATATGTCTCCTGTTTAAAAGTCTTTGTCTCCGCAGCGCTCCATCAGCTGCCGCCATGAGGGTCGGGTAGAAAGAGCAGCTCCACCTCCTCGCCCTCCTCCTCCATGTCATCCTCCTTCCTTGTCCATGGTGAAGACGCGCGTTATTTCAGCGACCATCTCCAACCCATCATCGCGCGTTTCCACATTAACGGCCGTGGCCTCAAAGCGCCGTGACAGCAAACTGTGGAGTGAGACCTTCGACATCCGAGCCGGAGCAACTCAGACTCTGAGTCCCAAAGAGATCAAAAGACAGGAGGTAAAAAATTTTTTTTTTTTTTTTCGACTTAATTCCTCAAACTGGATGTTTTTCAAGAGAGTACAGTTTAATCCGCCTAGTATGGAAGCCCATTTCCGCCAAATGACAGTAAAAAATGCCAAATAGAAAGTCATAAATATGAGATATTCGGCTTTCAAAATTTGTTTCTCAGAATTATGACTTTGAAAGTTGCGATTATAACTTTATATCTCAGATTTATGACCTTTTAACTAATAATTATGACTTTATATCTTAGATTTCAGATATAAAGTCATAATTATTTGTTATAAGATATTATAACAAATAAAAAGTCATTATTCTGAGGTATAGTAATGATTATTTGTTATATCTTATAACAAATAATCATTAATATATGTCAGAATAATGACTTTGAAAATCAAAATTATAAATTAACATCTCAGAATTATGACTTTCTATTTGCCTTTTTTTTTTTCATGTGACAGAAATGGGCTTCCGTAGCTGTGAGAAGTTCAGTAAAACCATTTGTGTTACTGGTTTTTCTGTACCTACCTGTCTACAGGCTATTTTTGAGCTGGCTCAAGGAGAACAAGACCTGGTGGAGGATCTGAAGTTGGCCAGAAAGGTAAACGGCAAATGTGTTTTTTGTCGGGTTGAGATTAGTGCAGATATTTACATGTGTCTTGTGTCTGCAGGCGTACCGCGACCCAATGCTGAAGCTCTCCATCATGACTGAACAGGAGCTAAACCAGATCTTTGGCACCCTGGATTCACTCATACCTCTGCATGAAGGTAAACAGAAGTGGTGGAAACTAACAAAGTACACTTACTTGATTACTGTACTTAAGTACTTAAGTATTTTTTTGAGTATCTTTACTGTTAGTTTCTTGTTCCTTTTAGCTCTGCTTTGCTTTTTAATGGTCTGTTGCTGTTTTTCATCCATCATGGCGGATAGCAGCCATTAGGACTGAACCTGGACGCCACTGATTTACAGATTTAATCACGTTGCACTAATGTGAGAAACTCAGAGCAGATATTATTAGTAGCTTATCATTTTCTTAAGGCGTTAGCTGTTGCCATGTGGCCAAGTTGTTCAGTAGGATGATTCTCAGATCAGAGTTATAGTTTCTAATAGATTCAACCTTAAACCTTTATTCTATAGAGATAGAAAAAGGAGAATCTAGACTCTCCTGTCATGATCTCGGCACTGATGGTTTGGTTTTTTCCTTTGCTCCTTGCTTTCCTGTCTAATTGGTTCTGCGGCTGATTATCGCCGATCATTTCCACCTGGTTCCTCTACTATTTAAGTTGTGTGTTTGCCTCCCATCAGCGCAAGGTTATTCTTGTGTTTTTGTGATATGTTCCCTAGCAATCTGTAGTCCGCCTGTTTTCCTGATATTGACCAGTTTCTGCCCTGAGGATTTCAAGTTTTTGCCTTGCCCCTGTCTGCTCTGTTTGTCCTGTCTGATCGTGGATTCTACTGGCTTCTCGTTACATCTCCTGCTTTATTTTTGGTTTGTTTTTACATCAGAAATAATCAAATAGTTGTCCTTATTTTACTGTGGCCTTTTATTTGTACGCTGAATTTCATTGCATCAATAGATCAGGTGGTTTAACTCAGAAATGTTCTGATATTAGAAAATAGAATGTTGATTTTTGAATACTTAAATGAGTACTTTAACTTGAGTACGGGTTTTACTGAGTAACTTTTACTTGTAGTTGAGTCAGATTTGACTATGAGTATTAATACTCTTAGTCTAGTACTGCTGTTAAGTACTTTGTCCACCGCTGGTAAACGGTGGTTTCTGATGAAGTACAGAACAAGCTGGAGCGTCTGCAGCAAAACAAGAGTTTACTTTAACAACAGCTGAGTTAAAGCCGACAAACTGGGAAATCTGATCATTAGACTTTAGAGGATTTTCTCGGGAATGTTTAACTGGGAGAAATTTTATTCTCTTTAAAGGGATCCACGGATTGTTGAACATGTTTAATATGAACTGGAACCAAAAAAAAAGTGAAAACAAAAAAATAAATAATCTCAAAAGTTTGCCAAAGTTTTATTTCTGAACTGTGTTTTTCTTTGCTTTTTTTCACGTTTTTATTTACAAAAAAAGATTTTTTGCTTGCAAGATTAATGGAATAAGATTAACTCCATATTTCTCAGACCTACTAAGTCGGCTACGAGATGCCAGAAAACCTGACGGATCCACGGAGAACGTTGGACCCATCCTGACCGGCTGGGTGAGTCCTGGACGAGTCTGCAGGGTTTTCATAGACCTTCATAGACGACCCATGGTGAAAAGTGATGTCTTCGTGTCTCTGCAGCTGCCGTGTCTCTCCTCCTACACTCCGTACTGCAGTAACCAGGTCCAGGCCAAGGCTCTGCTGGATCAGAAGAAGCAGGATCCCAGGGTCCAGGACTTCTTGCAGCGCTGCCTGCAGTCACCTTTCAGCAGGAAGCTGGACCTGTGGAACTTCCTGGACATCCCTCGCAGCCGGCTGGTCAAATACCCGCTGCTGCTCAGAGAGATCCTGAAACACACAGACAACGACCACCCAGACCGGCAGCACCTGGAGGAAGCAGTGAGGAGAACTAGCCTTGATCTTTCTGCTAAAACTGAAACGTTCCCGTGGTTAAAATAAGACAGGAACAGTAATGTGATGCAAAATGATAATCAGCAAAGATATGGTTTCTCTGTTAAATACATTCTAAGAACATAGAAAGAATGAGTCAGCAAGATTACATGAATTACACACCCCCAAAAAATAAATAAAACATAGTCACATGACCAAATCAATTCAGTTTATTTCTATAGCTCCAATTCACATCATGTCATCTCAGGTCACTTTCCAGTTCACCAGTTCATCCAGTCAGTTTGATTCAGAGTTTTCTATCTAAGGAAAACCAGCTGATTGCATCGACTCATTGACTCTTCAGCAATCCCTCACACTAAAGGCTGATTTATACTCAGAAACCAGGTCGTCTGCGTGTTTGTCACAGTGAACGCAGAGATACCAGATGCCAGCGCCTTAGACAGGACGCCTCTGATTGGTCAGATCTACGTCTGCTCTACTCTATGCGTATTTCCTGTTTGATACTGTCAAGTTCTCTGTTTAGGTTTGATTTTTATTAGTGCTGTCAATCGATAAAATTTTTTTAATCGCATCAATGCCTGAGTTAACTCGC